CAGGTATCAAACCTTCTACCAAACATTGATGTTATGAATAACGCTATTTTGAAACTTTCTGCCAAGGTTGGAGTTTTCCAGATTTGGCCAAAACAACATTGTTGGAGTACCTACATTGTTGTTGGGTCTGGACGCTAGAACTATAGTTTGTCAGTCAACACTGAAAACTGATGTTAAAAATTAAAGTTTTCCAAAATACAAACGAATTATTAGAAACAATTATTTGATGTACGGAGTATTTTATATAATCACCAAGTAAAAGGTGGTTTTCATAGTTTTTGACCACAAACCAAAAACAAAAGGTACTTTTTAGAATGTTTTTGTTAGAAAACCATTTAAGTATGTCCAGAAGTGAAAACCAATTAGTTGATTCAGACGCCAAAAACCAACGCCGAACATTGTGGTTTTGGTTTGGGCAACAACCAAATGTTTTTGGCAGCTTGAAACATTTATGAAAAGTATTTGGGTGATGCATAGAAATGATTTCATGGTTTTGTAAAACATGTTTTAGCTTTCGAGAACCAAGACTTGAAAACCCATGCCAGTCTTGATCTCAATATGACTAACTCAATCCTAAGTCTAATTCTTCCTGGTCTCTATTCTTGAAGCTTTTGTGTCTTGTTCGAGGTGTTGTTTTACGCTTTGTCAATGAAATTTCTTCATATCCACATCGATTTGGCATTCATCAAAATCTATCAAAAATCGAACATCAATTTAGCACAACATTATTGAAAAAGTGTATTGTAATAGACTTGGGATGCACTAATCAACCAATTGCACCTCCTAACCAATGAAAGAGAGCTATAAAATATGATGACTCGTTTTTAATCTTTGTGCGGTTGGGATGAGATAGATAAATGTCATTTTAATCACATCAACTTTATCTTAATCACTAGCCACTAGCTCTAATCAAGGTATAAGATGCGTTTTTTTAATAAGTACTCCGTATATAAAAAAGATAAACATTGTTCTAATACTTAATTGAGTTGTGACGATGAATGGTGACGCTAAAACATGTCATCCATGACAAACAATTGTAAAATTTATGCATACTGAATGTGCCTTTTGCCTCTTGGGCCTTATATTTTACAACTTGCTTCTCCGTGTAAAAGTGACCATTTAGGCAATGCCGGCCCCAAGGACTCGATGGTCCTAGACAAGACGAAAAGAAAGGATTTGATCCTAACAAATAAAAGTATATAAATTATTTTCTCTAAAACAAAAATGGAGGCAGTTTCCATGATGTGCAATGATGCTTGATTCGTAAAATAGACGATTCTTACCTTTCCTAGCTCCCTCCAGTAAACCCGGCCCCCACCCTATCCCGCCCGAAACCACCGTCCCACCACTTCAATTGTATCTTCCAAGTTTGATTGATTATGAAGTCAACATATAAATAATATTTTTTTTTAAATATTTCATTAAAATAAAAAAATAGTACGGAGTATATATTAACGAATAAAATTATTGGGCCGCTGAAAAATGGGCCTGGACCGGTAGGACACCTTGGACCACCCTTAGATTGAGGCAGAAAATTGCGAAAATAATTTGATAAATTGACCGGAAAAATGCATTGATATCCCTGAGAGCTTGAAATAAAATACTCCTTTCGTCCCAGAGTATTTGTCCACTTTCATTTTTACACACCATCCAATGCACTTTTTGAATCAATCTTATCTTGTAATTTGTATATTAAAAAATTATTGAAATTATATATTAATAATTTATATGTTAAGAAAAATCAAACAAGATCATACATGACTATATTTAGACTTACACGTCAAGAGAATTTGATGAGTCAAAGTGCTTAGATGAACAGTACCAAAAGTCAAAAGTGAACAAAAACTGGGAGACGGAGGGATTAAAAAATTGAATGACTTTTGCTCCCTATAAAATTTTACAGAGCTAGAATTTTACCACATGTACGAACATGTCAAAAGGGAACATTCGTGGCAATTTTGTGATTTTTTGATCTGTTTAAAAAATTAGCCAACAAAATCGTGACGTTACCAAAGTGTTTGGAAATCAAAAGTTTAAATTGGTGTTACTCTCTATTAATAGGGAGTAAGTATTTTGGACCTTAAATTTTACAACGATAAATGGGCTAAAAACACATCATTGAAGCAAATCAGTTGGTCTATTTTATTCTAAAATTGATATTGAAATAAATATAAAATTTTAATATTTAAAATACATCAAATATTTTTTTTTTAAAAAAAGAGATATTTGTTATAAAATAATTAACACAAGTAAAATGAAATATATACATTTAAATAAAATTCTCGTGATTTTGAAATAATAAAGAGTGCCAATTAGTTTGGGAAGGAAAAGTATTGAACGAATTGAAAGGAAGCAAAGTGCGATTTGAACTAAATATTACAAACCTGCGCGGCCCCCACCAACAAAAGGTTTCAGATTGAGCTTAAATGGCTAAACATTTAGTCAACCAGATAAGAATGGGATGGGGCCTCTTGGAAAGCGATTGTATAGTAGAGCTTAATCCTTGTAGTTCATCTCTCAATATCTCAAACTACATCCATAAACTCAATTTAAGAGCATTATTAGAGACTCTGGGTCATGTTCTTTTGTATTGAAATTTCATAATTAGATGTTGAAATATACCCCGAGTGGGAGAAGTTAGAATTTTTTTGAAAGAGTTAGAAAAAAATAGGAAGAATTTGGAAAATATTAGAAGAATTAAAGTTTTAAGAAGTCATTCAATTAATGATATCGTAATAAATATGTAAAAAATTTCTAAAAAGTTTTTCATAGGTGATGTAGACCACAGATTTACTCATTTTTTCGTATAAAATGATTTAAAAATAATTTCATTGAAATAACAAAATGCGCAACGAAAAAATAATTTTTAAGAGTGATTCTATGGTGAACGTAAAGTCCACATGGACATTCTCACATACTTTAAAATTTATTCGAAAATTGGTAATGAATCAAATAGGAATAATAAATTTATATATTTTAAAATTACATAAAAAACTCTACAAAATAAAATGTTACAAAACTATATAATTTTCCACAAAAGGATGACAAAAATAACTTTAAAACATGATTAAAATTTGAATATATAAATAATAAACAAGTAGCTTAAGATAGTGTTTGTGGAAATTAGCATTTCATTTCAATTCATGCATTTCAATTCCAAAATTTAAAATTTTAAATTCCAAATAACGAAGGAATGTGCATGAATTTCAAACTAAGCTTTAACATGAATGCGACAAATTTGACCCAAAATCTAAATTCAAATTTTTTAAAATTTACCCAACATAAAATTTGAGTCAAAACTGAATTTGAAATCCAAATCTGTTTTTTTTCAAAAGATACCATAAAATAATTCGTCGTATGTGGGAATTTTTGGAGGGACGGATAGGAACAACATTACATATGTCGAGCGGCTGGTTACGGGACCACATGTAGCAACACGCGGCGTTTTGCCGTCAAAGTGCCGTTCCTCTGGTAGGGCACACTCGCAGCCGTTAATCGTGCGAAATCTACGGCTGAGAATGAATGCTCTGGCCCCCCTCCTATGCGCCCGCCACTTTGACCGTCCGGCCATCTTATCATTGGCACCGCACCACCCCCACCCAAATGGAACCTTCCCTCGTCGTTCCTTCCTTGGAGCCTTTAGCCCAATAACTTAACCCTTGTTCAATTTTTTTTGGATGAATTTCTATAATTAGTCATTTCTTAAAGAGAGTTTTTCATGCTTAATTCTTTATGGTCAATAACAATAAATGTATTAAAAATATTACTCTAAATAAGAGTAAAACATTAAAAAAGTATTAACATATAAATTATATTTCATATTTTTATCTTCAAACTAAGACTTTACACTTTGATAATATAATATTGTACTGAATATTTCACAATATTTTTCTGTAACATAAAAGAAAATAACATTGCAGAATTTTGGAATATATTTGAAAATTAGTGGGAGACAATGTGGGGGGTGACGATGTAGGTAGCTAAGGGATAGGGGACAAATCCTAAAAAGAAGCTCACCAAACGGATAAAAGTTAAGCAAGACAAAGACACCAATAATCTTCATTAGAATTAAGCTAGGGATAGACCAACATGGAGTACCCCAAGTGTACACCAAAGCCAACACAGACACACACAGACACAAAGTGTCTGTGCAACACAGACACTTTGTGTCTGTGTGTGTCTGTGTTGGCTTTGGTGTACACTTGGAGTACCCCTAGCATTGCCCTCTTCATTAACGTTCAACCCAGTCAACAACAATACTTTTTTTAAAATTAATTACTCCGGAGTATTATTGTACCCATTATTTCATGTGCTTTGACAAAAATGTGCAGAGGAAACTGATGATCGAATAATAGGGAGTAGTATTTTGGATTATTTTTTCCGTATAAATAATAATTATGGTTGAGAAATTCAAAATTTTATAATTGTAAATTAACTTTGTAAATATTTCTAAATCGTTCAAATAAATGACTTCATCAGTAGAAGATCATGTTATACTCAAACAAAGTTTGACATCAAATTAAAATTTGACATCATGTGTTTTAATTTAAAACCATTTAGGCCCCGTTTGGAACACGGAATTCAAATTACGGAATTGGAATTGAAGACTTTAATACCAATTTTAGTATTTGGTAGCATAAAAATTATGTGGATTTGGAATTGATAGTGCAAAAAATAAATTATAATTGAGAAATTCAATTATACAGAATTGAATCCGATGAAATTTCAATTTCAATTCAATTCCAATTCCATCGGAAAAACAAATACAACTATCAATTACCCCGAAAAATTTGATTTTTGTGTAAATGTAGATTAACTTTGTAAATATTCCTACATCGTTCAAATAAACGCCGTTGTATATCAATAAAAGATATAGCCTGAGAGAAATATATACAATAATCATTGATTGCACATTTGTATATATGAAGCATATGTATGGTAGTGTCACACACTCACACATGGTATATATAAGGGGCTAATGGTTCAAAACTTCAGCCACCCTCTCTACCTATTTAGCTCAGCTCATATCACTAGTAAGCTAATTCATGAATTGAACTAGCTAGCATCAATTGAAGAAAAGATTGCACAATTATATTATTGGCTTTTATATTTCATATATATTTTTTAAAAAAGAAATCCAAGCTATAGAATAATGGAAAACAGCCAAGATTTGCAATCCCAAACACGCCCTTCTTCTCATCATGAGCCCATAAAGGCATCATCATCATCATCAAGGTTCAAGAGAATATGTGTTTTCTGTGGAAGCAGCCATGGGAAGAACCCAAGTTACCAGCTTGCAGCTCTTCAGCTGGCCAATCTATTGGTATTTTTTTACTTCCAATTTCACAATTCTTCTTCTTCTTATTCTTCTTTTCTTTTCTTTTCTTTTCTCCAAAAAAATGGGACGGTTTGATTTTTTTGGAAATTAAGGGAGGGATATTTTGGTATTGACTTTCCAAAAATACCCTTGATATGATGGATAAAAGTAGGATGTGATGAGTAGATTATTAGAAAAAAGGTATGATGCGATAGGTAGGGTATGAAAAAGTAAGGGGTAAAAGTGGTTTTTTAATAGAAATGTAACGGACTTTACAGGACACGGTTTTTTCTAAACGTATCAAATTTTTTGGGACAAAGGGAGTATTTTTTTGGACAAAATAGAAGTGTGTAGTTTGGCAATGTGACACCGTATATTGACATTTCATAATATTTTATTAGTGCAAGAGCCATGAAGACAGGGCATTGTTCCATTTGTTTGGTTTCCTTATTTCTTTTTCTTGTTAGCTAATGTTTTTTATTACTCGTAACATTTAAAAAATTAAATAAGGTCAATCCTATTAAAGTATCATCTATTACTACACATATAGAAACTTTATACTAAAAAAAATAATGAATTAATAAAACATTGAGATTAATAGATAATCGATAAAATTTAATCTATTAATTAATAAAATTAATGGCTTAATAATTATCATGTGAAAAAATGTGACAAATTTTACAGGTTGAGAGGAAGATAGATTTGGTTTATGGAGGAGGGAGTATAGGTTTGATGGGACTTGTCTCCCAAGCTGTACATAAGGGAGGACGACATGTTTTGGGGTATGTTACTTCTTTCCTTCTATTTCATACTCCCAACATTTTACAACGTAGTTTAATTGATAAGTTTTTAAATTTTTAATTTAAATATTGGTGTAAAGTTTAAAAATATAACTTACACACTATCCTAAGGAATCATAAGATATGACATTATTATATTATTATATCAAATGACATATTAAAATATATATACACCGAAAAAATAGCAAATAATTTAACCCCACGAGAGGTCTCGTGTTGGAGTATCATTTTGTTTGTGTTTCACTAAACTCACATCATATTTAGTGGTGTTTCTCTGCTCTTATAAGCAGGTCAAAACTACTTATAAGATATTTTTAACTCATAAGTCAGCTGATAACTTATTTCGATGTGCTTACAGTCTGATTTATAAGTCAGAAAAAATAAGTAGGCTTTAGTTATGGGTGGGGTTCCAGTGCCACTGGAATCCGGTGCCACTAGCGGTGCCACTGGCATTTTGGGGCACCTCCGGTGCTCCGTTCGCAAAATTAACGGTTCCTACCCCTCTAACCCACCCACCCTACCCCCGCCCCTGCACCCC